GGGCGGGCGAGGAGGGGAAGGGAGGGGAGGGCGGGGAGATGCTGCCGCCGCCCCCGCTGCTCCCGCCGCCGGGGCTGCCCGGGGACGGTGTAGGGGGGCGCGGAGAGGGGCATCCGCTCGGCGGGGCCCGGCCCCGAGAGAAGCCCCAGCGCGAAAGAGGTGGCGGGGGGAGCGCCGGTCCCCGGGAGGAGGAGGCGGCGGAGGGAAAGGCTGGGGCCGCCCCAGCCCCGTCCCCTCGAGGCCCGACGGGGCGGTCCACGGTTTAGGCTGAGAAACAGAGAGCGACGGGGCGGGGAGCGACCCCGGCTCCCCCCGGGCCGGAGGGACCAGCCCAAGGGAGATGCTGCTCCATCACCGCCCGCGGAAAGTCCGACGGGAGCGCCCTTCAGCCACCGCAGGGTGTGAAATTTGCCCCAGCGTCTGCCTGGACAGATTCCTCCAAGCCAGGAGAGAGGGAACATGACACCAATGAGAGAAGAAAAGTCCTCCTCCCGCCCTGGAAACCAGGCGGGGGTGGAATAAACCTTTCAAAATGCTTTTGCTACCTGTGAATCCCCCACCTCAGCAGTCATTTTGATGGCAAGAAGTCATTTAGGGACAATGCTCGAAATGCCATCCAGCCCAAATAAATGGGAAATAACCTGTGCAAGAATGCCAAAGAAACTATTCAATCCAGATCTGTGGATTTGCAATCTATTTTACAGACAGTAAGTACAGACAACGCTGTTCTCTCATATCATGAGACATAACTCCTATTTCACATCAGCACTGGATATCTTACAAGTGTATGTAGCAATAAAAAAGTCCTTTTGTAACGTTTGGTTTCGACAGTTTGAAATCTCCACCACAGATCACACATTTCTGGAGCTGGCACTATTTCTAATGGACTGTGATACCAACATATAGCCAGGTATAAAGGCCTGAGAAAAAAATGCCATCTTCCTGAAAGTATCCTGGTCCTCATTACCTGTATTTCCACAAAGAATAAAATCTAGGATGTACCTTCTTTAGCTAAAGAGTTCTGCATTCGATGTTGGGCTGAAGACATCATCCCTTTGGGAAAACAAGTTCTGGAGGAACAGATCACCAGAGTGACATGATAGGTTGGCTGTGGTAAAGCAAGTCTTAATAGCAACCCATACCTATTGTCATGCACATATATTCATCACATTTTAGTTTTGTCTAAGAAATGTCATTGGTATCCTTAGCTGAAAGGAGCCCGTTCCATTTCCTGATGTAAAATTATGTATAATACACCTTTGTTATTATACATAAACCATTGTATAGAAACTGAGCAGACTATATTTCAGCAGACACCCTTGTAAAATAAACTACATGATTTTTCATCAAGTCCTGAAAGCACTCTGCTCTTCCAGTCCACATCACCTTCACCTTTCAGACTGGATTCCAGCCAACTGGCTCTCACCCAGTTCCTTGTTTCTTCCAGGCACTAGATAAATCTGGCATCCAAGACAAAAAGAGGAGGAAATGTAGAACTGTGTGTCATCAGATTCCCAAAGATAGTACAGTCCTTATCAATCTATAAATGTTGAATGGAAGAATTAGCTGGACTGATCTCTTTGGGAAACTACGCTTTATTCTGGGGAAGTGAGGAAAGAGAGAAATCACTCAATTGCTTCTAAGAATAATTAAAAAGAACCAGACCACTTGAAAACAATCCCTCCACCCTGTCAGGTTACACAGTTGTTTCAAAAATATTTTATGCCACATCTCAACCATAAACACTAACAGTATTCCAACCATAGTTTTGGTTACAAGACATCACTACAGTTCTCCGTGCCTTGCTTTATTCATCTGAATTTCTTTCTGATGGATATTTACCTCTGAACTTTCTGGATTTGCAGTGCCTGCTTCTGTAATCATTTAAACACGCCTGTGATTTTTCATCCACAAATTACAAATACCTGCTCCCAGTACGACTGTAGAATTTCAAGAGCTTTCTTTCCTCCTTGGTATTTGCCCTGTTCCCCATAAATCCTGTACCATTAAGCAGGTAACTATAAACAAACAAATCGAGGGACGGGAACTGTAATCCCTTTATATTATCTAACTATTTGCTTTGAAAAGAGAGAGCAGATTCAGAGCAGAAGACATCCTGTGACTCACTGAAGAAATGGTTCAACTTGACCTTTCTGTGCTTCTACCTTCCTTTCTTCCCATCAGTTCCACCTATCATTCCTCGCATTTTCCTGCAATTAAATTTAAATTGTATTTGTTCACATTCCCGTCTGCCTGCACAGAATTGTCTCCTGCTGTTACTGTTATTTACATTACCCAGGTGACATACTGATGAAAACATACTCAGAGCATAGACCTCTCTACCTACTCCAGAGTAACAGTGTCAACAATAATCTACAGTCAACCAACAGGACAAAATACTATCATGTAGTATGAGCATTTACAAAATGTATTTTTAAGGACCGTTCTTTTGTAATTCCCTCAGTAACAAAACAGCTATAAATTCTGACCTTCACTTCCTCCTGTCTCCAGGTACCTGCCCTTCCTGTTCATCTCAGCTCTTGTTCTGAACTCACCACAATACTCTGAAAAACCAGATTTCCATCCCTGTTTTACATTCTTCTGTTGGAATTGTTCTTCCACTGTATAATCTGCAACTGAAAATTCACTCCCGTGAATCAAGGTACAGGATGCTTTCTTTTGGTGGCTTCTCTAAGTCATCTAAATGCACTGACACATAACACAGCAGTGTTATTAATATAAGTTTTCTGACATCCTTTTTTTTTTTTCTTCTGTTCCTTTCCAGTTTTGTTAGACAAGAGGAGTTCCCAAGGAAACAGTGGTGGTGTAACCTGGTTTTATATATCACCACAAAATGTCTTTCACTAAGGGTCTCATTATACTTACTCCCATTTCCTTCCTCATAGCAACTACAAGAGTAAATGAGTTGGTAGATTCATCATTCAAGCATGCTAAGTGTAATTCTTTCCTGAAAAGGTAAGGCTAACATCTGCTTTATAATGTTTTGTATAAGGGAGAAATCCAGTGTAACTAATTCTTTCCATTATTTTTGTCCCAAGTTGAAACATTTACTTGGAAAACATCTTTATGTAGCTGACATGAAAGGAACTTCAAAGTATTCTCTTATGGATCAGTGAATGGAGAGAATGCTAAACATGTTCTTGGCTGAAAACCTTCAGTACTCAGACGCTTGATGGATCAACTCAGATGTACAACCGGCAAGAAATGTGCCCTGTAGGACTCTTCCTGGAGGCATTTTGCCTCAAATTCCTGTTGAGAAAGGACAAAACTTTACACTGTAATAATTTGTGACTCCCTGTACTATAGGGAAAGTCCTATACTGAATGCTATCAAACCATCGTGGACTGGTTTACTCGTGCAGTCTTGGTTCTTTCCCAGTTTTCTCCTATCCAAACTGAGAAAGATAATTATATTGTATAATGTCACCTACGTTTTCTTTTGGTTTCTTTCAGGAGGATTTTCCTTACTCTATATGTGTTTATTTTCTACTCCAAGTAAATTTCTTTTAGTTGGATACTTGTGCACGAGTGATTTGAAGAATGCTAGGTATTTATGGGTAAAAGTTAGTTTTCTTCATTTGTTACTCTCATTTGTCATATAAGAGGGTTATCCGTAGTTTACACAGTACTGTCCATACCCTGATGTCAACTACAGTCAATGAAATTTTACTGATTTTACTGATGTGAATGATCTGTCTGCAGTAGATAGAAAAACATTGGTCTTTTCTCTAGAGCCCCCACATTTTCCTGCTCTCCATGGATATGATCAGTATCTTCACAGAAGAAGGGGGAAGTCCTTAAGTTGTGCTGAAGAGGACACTAGCCAATTCCAAAGCCTTTCTCTGCTCAGGGAGTACCATTAGCAAAAACTTTTTGGGTTAGAGGAGCGGGGGCTCACCATGGGTGTTGTAGCTGCTGGGGGTATGGAGGAGGTTCAGCCTTATTCCTAAACCAGCCTGGGTGGTGAGAGATTGATTTGCCTTCTCTCATCAGACTGAGGAGCTAGTATCCAGGTTGTATTTTGAAATGCAATGTGGGAGAGGCCCTGGCATGTAGGTGTTCTGTAAACACCATTGGCTGAACACCGATGGAAGGCTAACATCGGTTAGTTTTCTGTTTTAAGGCTGAGAGAATTGGGGGTGTTCAGCCTGGAGAAGAGCCTGGGGAAACTTAGGGGGCTTAAAAGGGGCTCATAAAAAAGATGGGGACAGACTTTTAGTAAGGCCTGTAGTGATATTACAAGGGGTAATGGTTTTAAACTAGAGTAGGGTAGATTCAGACTAGATA